ACACTCGGTGAGGGTGTGCTGCGTCGAGTCCCGACCGGCCGCACAGTGGTGGCACCCCGTCGTGTGCTTCTTGCCTATCCTGCACAGGTAGTCACCGAAACTACCGTGCCCGGTGAGTACCTGTGTCAGGTGGAACTCTAGTCCTCGTCCTCTTCTGTCTACCCATTCCGTAGACAGGGCTGGATGGCGTGGGTGGTCCATCTGCCCGTCACAGAGTCCGCAATGGCCTGCCATTGGGAGATGGTTCTGCGTCGGGCTTCCCTCCTTATTTTTTCCACAGCCCCTGGTCTTAAACGGGAACTCTCGGTGCGGTCGGGGTCCCTCGTACGCCGATAAACCTCGGCGTACGAGTTCGCCAAAAACTCTACCGGGAGGAGACCCGCCAGGGCCGTGGCCGCCACGAACGACGTCGTGCAGTAGGACCGAAGAATCCTGATGGCCAGCCGGCGTTGTTGGCGATGGATCATTGCCTTGATTCGCCGACTGACCGAGACTTTTTTGGCCCATACCGGTGCCCTGTAAAGGGACACCGACTGCACGACGTTCGCGTACAGTCGCCGAACCTTAACGTTTGGCCCATCCACGTTGGGCAGGAGGCGGCCTAACGTGGCCGCCATCCTGTCCGCTTTGAGGAATGATTTGAGCGAAATGTTACTCGAATCCCCAAAGCCCATCTAGGGTGAGGCCCAGGTACTTCATCTGGGTCCCCACCAGGATTTGGATTTCCCCCACCCACATTTGGATGGGGGGAGGACGCCCCATGGCCCTGCTGTAAAAATACAGGGCCTCCGTCTTGTGCGGGGCGACCTCTAGTCCCATGGCTCTAATGGAGCACACGACCGCTCGGGTTGCGGCTAGGTTTTACAGTAGGAGTCCTAGAACCGACCCCTGCGGAACCCCGCAGTTCACTGGCCTTCTGCTTACCCGCTCCAGCTGATCTCGGTGCTGGAGCGTCCTGCCGCGGAAGTAATCCCAGACTACATCCCGTAAGTATTGGAGGAGACCATGATGTTCCATGGCCACCCCCATCCAGTCCCAGGGAAGGGAGTTAAACGCGTTGACGATCTCTAATGACACCGCCAACACCACCTCTTCCTCCCCTACAATTTGGTCCGAGAGGGCCTTCAGATGCAAAATTGCATCCGTTGTTGAACGACCTTCCCGGAACTCAAACTGCTCCTCGCTTAGGTCGGGACCATTCCGCGACAGGTGCTGGACGATTCGGCCAGCAACTATTCTCTCAAACAGCTTACTGACCTCGTCCAGCAGACATATCGGCCTGTAAGCAGAAAACTGCTCCGCCGGCTTCCCCTCTTTGTGGATCAGAACCAGATTGGCTTTTTTCCACGCCGAGGGGAAAGTGCCCGTCCTGAGGCATGTGTTGTATAACCTCCTCAGGCAAGCTTCCACTCCGCCAAAGGCCAAGGCCCAGATTCGACCGGGAATCTCATCAGGACCAGGGGCTTTGCCAGCCGCCCACAGTCTCTTTGCTGCCTCGGAGAGCTCCTTTTTCGAGATTTCCAGGTCCTCGTTCCAGAGGGGAGGGTCCCTCCGCGGGGGGATGTTTACATCCCTTACAGGGAAGAGGGTCTCCACCACTTGGCCGAGGAACTCCGGATCGAGCGTCTCCGAGATGGGGGCGCCGCCGGTCTTAGTCTGTTTAAGACTATCCGGTAGGGGCGCCCCTATGGGTCCCGGTCGAGTTCCGCTATCAGCTCCTCCCAGGCCTAGGCCTTGGCCCTCCTAATGGCCGACCGCAGTGAGTACCTTGCGGCTAGGTACGCACCGCGCGCCACAGCAGTACTTCCGTTGTTTCCACTCGCCCTTTGTCGGGCACTG